TGGCCACGTCACGTTCCAGCGCAAATCTAATTGACTCATTCCCTTGCTTACGTCGTGCGCTACAAATCCGTCCGATTTTCCGTCACTTTTCACGACCTTTTGTATTTCTCTCGCGGCGTTATGGTGGGGGGTGGGGGGGTGCAATGTTACTGTATTTTCTGGATTTTTGCACTTTATTTATTATCAGTTTGCGAAGAAAATGATGTGGAAGAAAACTTTCATAGAATGATGTGATCTACTTCTTGGTAAGCTCAGATTCTGTAGTTAAGGTGTTAGGCGTACCTTTACTATTGTTATCATTATTATTTTCTTTCTTCTTAAAAGAGACTTTCAGCGAATCGGAGTACTTGAAGGTTAGGGTCAAGTCGCCAGTTTTGGTTTTTGATTTCTCTTTTTTTCTGAGATGGACAAAGTTTAGCAAACATTAGCAATATGAAATGGTTTATTTGCACATTGATGATAAGTCCCCGTGACCTCTTTCCCTCGCTAGGCTGCGTGGACTCGGCATCATTAAACTGACCAAAGATGACCTACAGGAGTCTGGGAAGGTGAGATGACCTCCATCTGTATTAGTGATAATGATGATTATGATGATAATATTAATGATGATAAGAAGGGCAATGATAGTTATAGTTATGATGATAATATCAATGATAAGAATGGTAATGGTGATAATAATGATTGTGATGATCATGATTATGATGTTAATGATGACCATAATAATAATGGTTATAGTGCAACATAATAGTGAAAATAAAAGCAATAAAAACAATAACAAAAGTGTGAGAACTACCTCCCTCCCTCTCTCTTTGTCTTTCTCTCTCTCTCTCCCCCTCTCTCTCTCCGTCTCGGTTTCTCTCTCTCTCTCCTCTCCCCCCCCTCTCTCTCTCTCCTCTCCACCCCCCCTCTCTCTCTCTCTCTCTATCTGTCCCTCTCCCCCCCTCTCTCTCTCCTCTCCCTCTCTCTCTCTCTCTCTGTCTCACTCTCTCTCCCTCCCTCCTTCCCTCCCCCTCCCTCCTTCCCTCCCACTCTCTCTCTCAAAAAGAACAACGCAATGCCTTCCATCACCGGACATTTATTAATCGAATCCTCTCTCAATTTCCCGCCGGCATTCAAGACGTTAGACGAAGCCCAGCGAATTCACCGTGAGTTCAACCGCCTGGACACGTGCTTGGGCGTCACGGCTTACGTGGGGGAGAGAAAAGTCGCTGGGCCCGTTTTTTCCTCGAAGATCACGAACTTGAGTAAGTTTTTTTTTTTGTGTGTGTTTCTTTTAATTTCTTTCTTTCGTTTTCAGATTTGTTTTTATTTTTTTATTTATTTATTTTTATTATTATTATTATTATTATTATTATTATTATTATTATTATTATTATTATTATTATTATTTTTAGATTTCTTTTAATGCCTTTTTTTAGATTTATTTTAATGTCTTTTTTTCTGATTAAGTTTAGTGTCTTTTTCAGTTTCCTTTTAATGTCTTTTTCAGTTTCCTTTTAATGTCCTTTTAGATTTCTTTTTATGTCTTTTTCTTTTTTTTTTGTTTTGTCTTATTCCCTCGTCGATTGATTCAAGCTTGAATCCTGTTTATTTGGTGTTTTATATGTTTGTTAGGCTATTTCTTGATTTACTTTTCGTACGAGACGGACGATGGTCAGACTTATCATTATTCTCTCTCTCTCTCTCTCTCTCTCTCTCTCTCTCTCTCTCTCTCTCTCTCTCTCTCTCTCTCTCTCTCTCTCTCTCTCTCTCTCCCTCTCCTTCCCTCCCTCTCTCTCTCTCTCTCTCTCTCTCTCTCTCTCTCTCTCTCTCTCTCTCTCTCTCTCTCTCTCTCTCTCTCTCCCTCCCTCCCTCCCTCCCTCCCCTCCCTCCTTCGTCACCTGAAAGCCTCACCAGCCACCCTCCTTTCACTCCAGGATGTGCCTCTCAGCTGAAGATCACGAGGCGCTCCGTGTTGACGACATCTGCGGAGGGAGGTCAGGAAATGTGGTTGCTCACGGACAAGGTCAAGAAAGGTCAGTCTGTTTTTTTTTTTTTTTTTCTTGTGTGTGTGTGTGTGTGTGTGTGTGTGTGTGTGTGAATGTGTGTGTGTGTGTGTGTGTGAGTGAATGTGTGAGTGAATGTGTGTGTGTGTGTGTGTGTGTGTGTGTGTGTGTGTGTGTGTGCGTGCGTGTGTGTGTGTGAGAGAGAGAGAGAGAGAGAGAGAGAGAGAGAGAGAGAGAGAGAGAGAGAGAGAGAGAGAGAATGAGAATGAGAAAGAATTTGATTTCGACAGAGCTTGAATATAGATACACATTATATGCCTACGATTGTATATCAGTTGGAATATATTTACACACATATACAGTATATATATATACATATATAGACACGCAGACACAGATTAGCAGTTGCATTCTCTCTTCTTCCCTCTCCATCTCTCCCTCCGTCTCGGCAGGAGACATCGAAGTCCGGATTACTGACGGCGAAGGCTGGGATGACAAGTGCACGGGCCTTGAGATTTTCCATCAGTTTATCATTATCTGCAGGTGAGTAACTTCTTTAATTTCCTTTTTTTTTGGAGGAGGGGGCTGTTCTCTTATTTGTATTTTTTTTTGTTTGAGTTTTGTTTTAGTAAAGAAATGTTAGTAGAGAAATAAGATGAAAGAACCGCTGTTGTTAACTAGTGATGCGTTTTATTTCTGCTACTTTCCATCACTACTGCTTCTACTACCACCGTTTCTACTTCGAGTGATATTATTGCTAATGTCATTTAATTAATCACTATCACTACTACTAATACCTTTCTCGCTTCTGGACCTTCACTCTTGCAATTACTATTACTACTGGTATGGCAATTCTCCCAATACGACCATTGATTCCAATTCTACTTCCGTCACAGCTAATACTGCTGTCGTGGAAAAAAAAACTTTTCTTCCAGACGTAGCATACGATAATCTGATTCATGAACAGTGGCATCATCCTCTACGAGTACATAGTAGGAGGCGATGTTGACTAATCTAATTCCCAACCCCGTGGTATCCTCCGTAGGACCCCAGCATATCCTGGCAACCTGGAGGCGTCGGGTCGGACGATGCACCTGTACTTGTATCGGAAGTCGGATCAGGAGTCCAGCGATTCGTACGACATAAAATACGCGCCAGGCAGGGTCGCCGGCGAGTCGTCCACTCAGGTGCCGAACGGTGCGTGATCCGTGTTCTTGATTTGAACTTGGTGTTGTTCTTATTTTAGCTTTTGTAGAGTGGATTTCAGTTTTCCAAATGAATGACGTGGTTGTTCCTCAATTGCAGCGAAGAAAAGGAAAATCGTGGACAAGGATGCGGATTTCGAACTACTGATGCCACATCTAGAGCAGATGCGAGCGCTTCATCAGAACGACATGGCAGGCGAGACGCAACCTCTGTTCGTCCCCCAAATACTCGCTTTGCCACAGGAGTTTAGTCGGTCCCCAACTACTCCGCCGACATGCCAGGACAGTCCACCAGGGCATCCGTCTCAACTACGTTCGCCTGCCTCTCAGACAGTTGCGTCTCAGCCACACTTCCGGACAACTCTCCAGGCTTCTCACTTAACACCCGTCACGTCAAGTTATTCCCTAGACGTCAATTGGGCATCGACGCAACCAAACTTGCAGGTGAACAGTCCCAACGGCGCACCATCAACCATGCAACCGTCCCCGCACTTTCCCTACGGCCCACAGGACCCCAAACCTTTCCACGTCACCAATCAGTCGCCGACGACCTACGCAGGCCACGCATCGCCGAGGACTTCGCTCCATGACATACAGTCCAGCGCCCGCTTCAACGGGGCACCCACTCGCCAGGAAAACCGACTGGCACACAACCCGAATGCCACGGAGGCCTTTGCACCGTCCGCCTCACCTTTCCGCCAGGGACACGGGAGGCTGCAGGAGACCAATGCAACAGAGGGAATTGCAACAGCATCCATGCTTTCTTTCTTCGACTTCGCTTCGGACTTCGACTTGGAAGCGCCTTGTCCTCAGGGTAAGTGCCGAATGCGGGACCGATTTTGGAGGCAGCGACGCCATGGCAGTTTAGTGTGTGTGTGTGTGGGGGGGGGGGATAGGAGTTAGAGTGGGAGTGAGAGTGAGAGTGGGAGGAGTGGGAGGGAGAGTGAGAATGGGAGGAGTGGGAGGGAGAGTGAGAGGGGGAGGAGTGGGAGGGAGAGTGAGAGTGGGAGGAGTGGGAGGGAGATTGGGAGTAGGAGTGGGAGTGAGAGTGTGAGTAGGAGTGAAAGTGGGAGTGAGAGAGAACGAGAGTTTCAGTGTGAGAAAATGAGTATGGGAAAGTGAGAGTGAGTGAGTGAGTAAATGAATGACTGAATAAATTAGTGAGTGAGAGAGTAAAAGTTTGAGAGCGTGAGAGAGTGAGAGAATAAGAGAGTGAGAGTGAGTGAAAGGAGAAGTGACTATGTGTGTGTGTGTATGTGTGTGTGTGTGTGTGTGTGTGAGAGACTGTGTGTGTGAGAGAGAGAGAGAGAGAGAGAGAGAGAGAGAGAGAGAGAGAGAGAGAGAGAGAGAGAGAGAGAGAGAGAGAGAGAGAGAGAAGAGAGAGAAAGAAAGAAGAGAAGAAGAAGAAAGAGAGAGAGAGACAGAGAGAGAGACAGAGAGACAGAGAGACAGAGAGAAAGAGAGACAGAGAGACAGAGAGAGAGAGAAAGAGAGAGAGAGAAAGAGAGAGAGAGAGAGAGAGAGAGAGACAGAGAGACAGAGAGACAGAGAGACAGAGAGAGAGATAGAAACCTTATTATCAGTTCAAACATTTTTCCTCTTTCTCCCAATTACACTTATTTATCTATGTCACTGTCCACAGGTCGAGTGGGTGCATCTCCGTCGTGGTCTTTGGTAACGGACTCAGCTGGTAAGCTTTTTTGTTTATTCTGTTTATTCTATTTATTCTCTCTCCTATCATTTTCGTCACTTCACTTTTCCCTCTTGTCTTTCACGTTTGTTATTTATTATTTATTTTTTTCCTTGTTATTCTGTCTTCGAAATCTATCGTCCAGCACCTTAGCCTTTCTCATTTTTATCATTTGTTTATTTATCTCTTGTTATTCTGTCTACGAAATCTCTCTCTCACAATCTGCCTTTAAAAAAAATCCGTACGTTAATCTATAATACTGACTACAACAACAATAAAGCAAATAGTAATGATAATGTAGAAAAGAAAATGCAAATTATATTCTTTTCATTTTTTTTATTTGCCTTTATATTCCTCTCTTCCTTCTATTAAATTATGGTCAACTAAATTAACAGATTGAGAGTATAGAAAATGCGATACGTAAATAAAGTAAGTGAAGCAAATAAAGAAAATAAAGAAGGCAAGGAAGCAAAGATAGAAAACAAACAAACAAACACCGAAACAAATGCTGAATCATCATTAATATTTACGATAATGTCTCAGGTTCATCCCATCATCGTAACACTAAAAAAAATACAAAAGAAAGTAAATACGACTGGGAGGAAGAAGAGAAAGAGGGGGAGAAGAACAAGATAGAGGGAGTGACAACGAAAAGGTGGAAACAGACGGTAGTCAAAGAGGAGAAAGAAGAGCCAGCGAAAGAGAGAAGAGGGAAAAACGAAGAAAATCGGAAGTCACCGTTCGAATCGGGAGATGGCAGGGAATGCAAGAATAGGAAATTCATTGACGTGAATGCAAGAGATAGATACGGTAAGGATATTTTTTTTTTATTTGACAGGCCTTGGTCAAGCGCCTACACGGAGATGCATGCATACACTCAAGCGCACACGATACGAACGCGCGCACACAAGCAAAATAACACTTTGTTTTAAATACAAAACCATCAAGTACTAAATATAACCCACACAATTAATCTAGGGCAATTAAGAAACAAATAAATTTAGGAAGATAATGAACCTGAGATACTACTCTGCGGTATGTTTCTCATTGTTAAATTATCCATTGCCATCAATACTTATTTTCGTCATTTACCACCACTGACAGGAAATGAACCGTAATGAATGAATTGTAATAAACTCGGGCGAAAAAAAAAACTGATCGTCATTTTAGTTCAGTATTAGATCAATTGCACAATCTTCCGAGAAAATGATTCCTCCTTTCTTTCTCCATCCCTCTTTTCATCTGACTATAAACCAACGCAACCGCCTTCTACAGGAGACACACTACTACACTACGCCGTCCGGAAAGGCGATTCCCTGGCCGTGGCGTGGCTCGTTTCCCAGGGCGCTGACGTCAACCAGCAAGCACAGCTGAGTGGTGACACCCCCCTCCACCTCGCCGTGAAGTATGACATGCGTGTGGTGCTCAGAGTGCTGCTAGATTTGGTGAGTCTCTTAGGCTTGTATCTGTGGTAGTGTTTGCTATTCTTTGCAGATTTTGTTATTCTTGGGCTGTGAGGGGAAGGGGGGCATGTCCGGTGTGAAGGGAAGGGAAAGAACAGATTAAATCTTACTCAAATCTTACTAAATGTAATATATTCATGTTTCACTGTTGTCCAGGCATCATCTGCTGTTTACAAGTGTGTGTTATCCGATATTCCTCGGGCTATTTTGGGATTCCTGATTCCTAATCACTTTTTTTATATTCACAATGTTTTTTGTTTATCATATGTTGTATGGCTAGTTTATATTGTGTTTTGCTTGTCTGTCTTTTGGTTGCTTTTGTGAAAAGTGTGAAACGTTAAAACTTGTAATTAGTAGAATTTAGCTAATTATTAATCCAGTGTATCATTATCTGCCGATGTTGACCCATGTATCTCGAAAATTATTTTTTTCTTTTTTTTCAGGAAAACCTTGACCTGCACGTAAAGAATGACGCAGGTCAGACCTTTCTTGACGTCCTGCAGCCTGACTCATCTGTTTTGCAGGACGTGCTGGGGCATGCGGTGAGTCGTGTTCAGTCTCTTACTTTTGAGTTCTTTTATCTGTCAAATTGTTTTAGTTTGTTGCTTGTGATTTAGACTACAGTTTGTTTTTTCCAGTCTGTACAGTTGAATCAAACTGTTATCATGAAAATAAAAAGGAATAATCATTTTCATTATATGTTCTGCATGGCGGCCTTTCTCCCTCTTGAACAGAGAACGCGCAAAATGAGCTTGCAAGTCTGTTTTTCGGACGCTTCCCTCGAGGACACGCCTGTGCCTGGTGGACATCTTGAACAGCAACGCGGCGACATCAGCCACACAAAATCCACTTCCCAGACGGACTCGTTAAATGAGCCGAGAGACGAAGCGAGAGGCGAAGAGAAGAACGAGAAGGAAGGGGAGGAAGGGGAATCGAGGGAGAGGCGGAAAGAAACGCCTCAAATCAATCTTTGGTACTACATGTTTCTCCCGATTTTCCTCGCTTACTGCTATTCCGTGGTGTCGTATTGGTCTAAGGAGGACTTGGGATGACGCCTTGGGATGATGGTGATGGTGATGATGGTGGTACTGGTGGTGGAGAATATGGAATATATCAGAACTTATACAGTTTTCCAATCAAAATGTTGTTGCTAGTTATCCCTACTTTTATTCCGTTTTCCTTTATCGAGCCGTCGTCATTTTCTATGTCTGAGGAAGATGCAGGCTTGCAACCATGGGTAAATGAACTAAGTATGTGGAAAGTATGCCAAGAAAGGCTAATATATATATATATATATATATATATATATATATATATATATATATATATATATATATATATGTATATATATGTATATGTATATATATGTATATGTATATATGTATATATATGTATATATATGTATATGTATATATATGTATATGTATATATATATATATATATATATATATATATATATATATATATATATATATATATATTATATAGCCTATATATATGTATATTTATGTATATTTATGTATATATATATATATATATATATATATATATGTATGTATATATATATATATATGTATGTATATATAAATATATATATTAGAAAAGCGAGCACACACAATACAGACCTATTTACATACATATACATACACACACACACACACACACACACACACACACACACACACACACACACACACACACACACACACACACACACACACACACACACACTCACACACACACACACACACACACACACACACACACACACACACACACACACACACACACACATATATATATATATATATATATATATATATATATATGTATATACAATTGTTAATACGTATATATAATATACTTATATAATGTTTGTTTGTGTGTGTGTGTGTGTGTGTGTGTGTGTGTGTGTGTGTGTGTGTGTGTGTGTGTGTGTGTGTGTGTGTGTGTGTGTGTGTGTGTGTGTGTGTGTTTACATACATATATATATATACGTACTTACACACAGAGATAGATATGTGTGAATGTGTGTGTGTTTTGCATGTAAACATAAGTATTACACTATTATATAGAGAGGATAAATATAAGATACATAAACCTGAAATATATATAAACACAAAAAATGCGTGAATATTTATAAAATTATGGGTGAAGGTTGGATCACGGTAAATGCTAGTCTGGAAAATGCCATTGTTATCGGTGGTGATCATGGTATCTAAAAGTGCTATTGGTTGTTGTTTTGTATTCCAAAGGTAAATTTGATGCTAGGGTGTTTGAAGAAAAAAATTACGTGAGAAGGGTGTTTGAAGAGCACAAAAGTGTCGCCGATATACCAACGATAATATAGAGGTTTGAATTCAGACGGGCAATGTTCTAGCCAGTTTTGTTCATGGTGACAAAGTAATGTATTTCTATAACGTTCCTGTGAGGAGCCCATGGCTAGACCATCTGTTTGGGTATACAGACGATCATCTAAAGTAAACAACTGAGTGATGGGCTGTAATTTCAAGTAATTTATCTTAAGTTAACTTGATTTAATCCGTAATTGTTAAAATACGTGGAGCCCAGGTTGTTAGCTATTATATCTGTAGTCTGCTGTAAAGGTATGTTTGTGTACGGATATTTGACAACGAGACACCATACTGATGGGTTGTTTGAAGTTAAGAGTTGTTATTTCTTTAACAAAAGATGCTGAAATATCAATAGTATATTGGGTAGTTGTTAAAGGAGAGATGGATGATAGCAACGAGAAATTTTGCAGTATTATAATTCAAAGTGCTGATCGAGGGGATAATAAGTCTTCGTGAAATGTTTGGTTTATGCAGTTTGAGCAGTCTCTAAAGTTCTGGTCTGGAGGCGGAAATGAGAAAATTATATTTTTCACACTCACGTTCTACATGTGTGTGCATGTGTATGTATGTATGTATATGCATATATATATACATATGTATATACATATGTATACATATGTATATACATATGTATACATATGTATACATATGTAATCACACACACACACACACACACACACACACACACACACACACACACACACACACACACACACACACACACACACACACACACACACACACACACATCGCCACACGTTCAGGCGCTCCCCCTCCCCGCCGCCTCCTTCCGAGCGCTAAAGACTTTCCAATCATCTGTCGGCGCCGCAGAACATGATTCCTGCGTCTGGTAGAGATCTGGCAACGAAATCTCTCGCTGTCTTTCTCTCTCTCTCTTTCTTTCCTTTATTTAAAATCTCTCTTTTATTCTCTTCCCTCCCTCCCGCCTCCCCTCTCTCTATAGCTCTTGTGTCGCTTCTTAATAACAGGTTGGAGTATCTTGCAAGTTCAATTAATTGTAAGGCGTACGATGTAGTACTGTACCAGAGTACTAGAACTCTCTGAAATGTTCGCAGATACTGACCAATTGCGTCCAAGTTTAACTTACCGTTAGCCAATCACAGACTTTGCTTATGTTATATGTCCGATACGCCCAGTTTTCATTTTTCATCATCCACTGTATTGCGTAATTTGCATCATAGTATATAAATATATGATATCATCAAATGTGGCGTTCTGCAGTCCCTGACGATTTTTTTTTCGTAATTTAAATATGTGAATTCATTACGAAACTCAGGTTGGA